GCTTAGAGGGTAAAGGGCCTGCTGCCCAAGCTGACAACCTGAATTTGAGTCCCAGGATCTGCACAGTGGAAGGAGAGAACTGACTCCCCAAAGTTGTCCTCTGACTTCCACATGCATGCTAAAACACACACACACACACACACACACACACACACACACACACACACACAATGTCATAAACACTTAAAAATAAGCAAGATTCATTGATGGTGACCTATGTTGGGATTTAAAAAAAATTATGTGCATGTGTGTATTGCTTGCATGTAGGTAAGTGCACCTGTGTTGTGCAATGCCTGCTGAGGACAGAAGAGGTTGTCAGAAATGCCCGCGGAGGGCAGACGAAGTTGTTGGATCCCTTGGAACTAGAGTTATGGACAGTTGTTAACTGCCATGTAGGTGCTGGGATTTGAACCTGGGTCCTCTGTAAGAACAGCCAGTGTTCTTAACTGCTGAGCCATCTCTCCAGCCCCTATGCTGGGATTTTTTTTTAAAAGAAAGTTCTTGCTCTATAGTTAGGCTGTCCTAAAACTCAAGATCCTCCTTCTGCCACCTCTTGAGTGCTGTGATTGCAGACATGTGCCACCATGCCCAGCAACACATGGGGATTCCTGATGGGGATATTAGGTTGAGAAAAGATCCATTTTGACTTGTGGCTGAAGAAAGGATCAAAGTAGACTGACAGGTGTTCCTAAGATTGTTAAATTTTCCTAAGTGTAAATGATCTCAATAAAAAAAGAAACATGCAAGTTGGAAATTACCTTTCTGTACAGGTGCTTGATAAACAGGATCAAGTCCTTCAGTTTTCTCGGATACTTGTTGAAGAATTTCTGCTGCAGCTCTGTGAAGCAGATGGAGAACTCACCGGGCACAGCTTTCACTTGATCCATGGCGCTTTTGAGATTCCAGTAGACCCAGTGGCTGGGAGTCTCATTTAATCCCAAGGTGAGAGAGCCTGTAGGAAACACTTCACATACAAACCCTAATGGACCAGGAGAACCCAGGGCTACTGTCTCTTACATGATGGCATTTTCCTCTGGTTCAAGTCACCTTTCTGGGAATGCTAGTCATCAGCGTGTGTGTGAACATCTCTACCTTGTCAAAGGCCATATTATTGTTCTTCAGGGTCCCTAGTAGCCTAGAGACTCCTTAGAGTTGCACTCAGAAGTCCTAAGCTATCGAACTAGCTGTGGCCACCACTGACAATGTGACCTCAGACACATTTCTGCTCTTCTGTTTTCCCCATTTGTTTAAGGAGGGGTTGAGTTTCCATCCTGACACTCTTTGAGTTTGTGATAGCATGTGCTTGAGACAGAGCTCTGGCTCTGCCGTGTCTTATCCATCTAGCTGTTTCTTTTTGGTCATCTATTCATTCTCCATTCACATAATCTACCCATCCATTTTCCTCCTGGTCATCCATCCGTCTACCCATCTCTCTACCCACCCACCCACCCACCATTCATTCACCCACCCATCTATCTATCCATCCATCCATCCATCCATCCACATACCCATCCACCCATCCATTTATCCACCCACTCACCTATTCATCCATCTATCCATCCATCCATCCATCCAGTTATCCATCCATCCATCATCCATCCATCCATCCATCTATCCATCCAGGTATCCATCCATCCATTCATCCATACACCCACACATCCACCCACCCACACATCCAAACGCCCACTCATCTATCCATCAACCCAACTACTCACCCATTCATGCACCCATCCATTCCTCCATCCATCTACACTCCATCTCTCCATCCATCTGTCCATCTATCAGTCCGTTGGATACCCAGCTACGCACTCCCATCTACCTATTCACTTTTCTCCTAGCCATTTCCATCTGTCCATCATTCATCCATTGACCCAGTCACCCATAAAAACTGCTTTAGATTCAAAAGTCGAGAACATTTTCTTCAAAGTAAGTGAAAAGATGGGGGAAGAAGTTCCAGATAGGAGAATGGGGCCAGGGCAGGGACCCTTTTCTCCTGGGAGTCTGCAAGTCCCCATTTAGCAAAGTGCTAGTATTTCCTGTCTCAAGCAGCTTCCCAGTACCCCATGTTTGGTCTCCCCATAGCCCTTGGAGCACTCACCCAGAGGATTGAAAGCAGGAAACAGCTTCAGGGACATGTCCTGCCATCGTGTGGACACTTGGACTTCAAGGTAGCTCCCAAGGTTCATGACCTTTCCCTTGAATTTCGGATGGTTTTTCAACTGTTGCTCAAATACACTGAGGACTTTATGTTGGTTTTCCTTTTGATCTTGGAATTTTTCCCAGCCATCAATGAAGAAGACAAGGGTGCCATCGGAGTAACCTCTCAGGACTGTTTCCCGGCCGTAGGACCCACCCTGCAGGGAACAGAGCAGCAGGCATGAAGTGTGGACTTTCTGTAGCCACAGGACACTCCAGCAGGCAGTGCCATTTCTCAGCTGAAGTGAAATCCTAGAATGTCAGTCTCATCTTGGAATTTTTCCCAGCCATCAATGAAGAAGACAAGGGTGCCATCGGAGTAACCTCTCAGGACTGTTTCCCGGCCGTAGGACCCACCCTGCAGGGAACAGAGCAGCAGGCATGAAGTGTGGACTTTCTGTAGCCACAGGACACTCCAGCAGGCAGTGCCATTTCTCAGCTGAAGTGAAATCCTAGAATGTCAGTCTCATTGCAAAATGCAGTGACTGGCACTCATTTGTGCCCCTGTCAGTGTTTTCTATGCTAGTTCCAAACTGTAGAGAACCCAACTGCCACCAGAAATATATATAAATAAGAATACTGTACAACAATGAAAACGGGGGCTGGGGAGATGGCTCAGAGATTAAGAGCACTGGCTACTTTTTCAGAAGACCCGGGTTCAGTTCCCAGCACCTACATGGCAGCTAACAACCATCTGTGATTCCATTTCCAGGGCACCTGACCTCCTCAGGCATTGCACAGCATGGGTGCACTTACATGCATGCAGGCAATACACTCATGCACATAAAATAGTTTAAGAAACAATGGAAATTCTTGTATGAACACAAATCTCATATATGTGAAGTCAAAGACACCACACAACAAAGTGCACACATACAACAAAGTGAACACACACAGTAAAGTGTGCACACACAGGAAAACACACACAGCAACCCCCACTCCAGTGAGAGAGAGAGAGAGAGAGAGAGAGAGAGAGAGAGAGAGAGAGAAACGTGATGTTACTTTGTACAGACCAGCTTGTCCTGGTTTACTCAGGACAGTTCTAGTTTAAGGAAAAACTCCCACTTGTGCAAATTGAATTTCACTATTGGAAGTTGGGAGAGTGGCTGCCCATAGCTGGGGTACTGACTGAACAGGGACCAAGGCCTGGGGATGTGGGGACTGGAAATGCTTTGATCCCCAGTCTGGGTGTGGGTCATGTAGGGTGATGTTGGGGACAGCCTGATAGGTTGCTGCCCTAGAGCAGCCACTCGATGTGCGTGATTCTCTTCAGTGATGGGCTGATGGGCATGTCACTGAGGCAGGGTGACCAGAGGCTAGCACTCACACTCTGGTGCAGGTTGCCATGACACCTGCTAATAAATACCAAGCTCACTGTTTCTGGGGCAGAGGACATAAGTATCTGGCTTTCTTTATGGCCAGGGCTACTGGGTAGATAAAGGTGGAAGCTGGGAAATCATGTGGCTGCAGGAATGGGGGTGGGGTGGGAAGGAAGCAGTGTTGTTTGGATACAGCTGGTTTCTTGAGGGTCCTGGTCTTGGAGGCTCGGCCATTAGCTCAGGTCTCATTGCTGTGAACCAGTACCTGAGAAGAAGCAATTTAACAGAAGAAGAGACTGGGGAATGTCTGTGTGGGTAAGAGTGCATGCTCTGCAAGCTTGAGGACCTGAGTTCGAATCCCCAGCACCCATGGAAAAACTAGGCATAAATGTGTGTCTGTAACCCCAGCTCTGGGTTGGGGCTCAGAGACAGGTGACTATGGGAGCTCTTGTCCAGTCAGCCTAGTGGAGACAGAGACAGTGAGTTTCCAGTTCAGTGAGAGGCCCTATCTCAAGGCACTAAGGTGGAGCATGATGGAGATGGTCACCGCCACATCCTGTTCTGGTTGTGTGTGCACACATGCAAGCACATGCACCACACACACACACACACACACACACACACACACACACGCATGCACACTCACACATATTCCCTGCTAATTTATTGAACACTGACTGTGGTGGCCCCCATGCTAACAGCATCATGTGCTTGACCTTTACAACACTCTGAGGTGGGGTCTATGCTGACCTCATTCTACACCTCCAAAGACTGAGCACAGAGAAGTTAAGCATCCTGTCCAGGATCACACAGCCAGGTGGGAAAGCTCATCCTGGGCCTCTACACTGTCTCCCACTACAGCCCCTGTGTATGGGGAGGGCACTGTGAAGTATAGCCCAGGACTGGCATGCAGCAGCACTCAGTACCAGGCCACCAGGCCTTCTGGGGTCCTGTGAAGTGTCCCAGGGTCCAGAGCCCCAGCCTTACACTCACCTTGGCCATGCTCTGCACAGAGAAGTGCTCATTGCTCCCCAGAATGTCACAGATGAGGTTCACATCCTGGTCTATCTGCTTCAGGCATTCCTCGTAGGGCTTGAGCTCTCTCTGGATAAACGCGTCTAGATTTTCCTCCTCTGACACAGCAGACCAGAGAGAACCCATAACTGTTGGCCTGCTGCAGGGATGGAAGTCAGTGAATGGCAGTGCTAGGACACTGTAGCCTGGGTCCTCTGGGGAAAGGGAAGTCAGTCTGGAGCTACTTCCTCACCCCGGCCCAGCCTTGACAAGGAAACTGAAACCCAAGGCCAGGAGCCACTGCCCTGCTGCTGTGATTTGGGTTGGGCCACTCCCCAGACTCCCTAGGCTAAACCTGCAGCCTCCTGTGGCCCAGGGGGACACCTTCATACTGGTCAGTGGGTATCCTTAAGCACATGACCTGCCCTCTTGGTGCCTCTATTTTCCCCTATGCAGAGCAGAGGGAAACACTTCCTTTCTCACAGGACTGAATGCCAGTGATCTGTGCATGCAGCTCAGTGGGTAGAGTGCTCACCTAGCATGCACAAAGCCCTGGATTCTATCCCCAGCACCATATAAATCCACCCTGGTGGCATTGGATATAACCCTAGCACTCAAAAAGTGGAAATGGGATTAGATGTTCAAGGTCATCCTGAGTTGAGACCAGCCTGGGCTACATGAGACCCTGTCTTTAAACAGAACCCTTGCAGAGTGCAGGCTAAGTGCTAAGTCAGCTTTGTTTTAATGGGTGGAGGCTATCCTTTAAGACACTGCCCCTTCCTCCCTGATTCTAGTGGCCAGAGAAATCAGTGCCAGAGAGCAGAGATAGAGACCAGAGGGGGAAGAGGCTTGCTCAAAGACACACAGCAAGGTGCCCAGTCAGACCTAGGTTCCTTTTTTGCCTTTGGAAGGACACAGGACCCCCAAGGATCAGGACTGGGTTACAGACAGACAGATGGGGAGGGAGAGAGAGAGAGAGAGAGAGAGAGAGAGAGAGAGAGAGAGAGAGAGAGACAGACTCAGGCACTCCTAGTTGAAGAAGGGCAGGCTTAGGACTTCTTCCTAGTTCCTGCTTCTCCCCTGGGGACACACCACTACCTCATCTACCCTCAGATGGTCCACTGGGAACACTGTGGTGGCCACACTGTCTCAGCACATGCCCTGTGCTTCCTGTGCTGCAGGGCTGGGAAACTCCTAGGTATGTGTCCAGTACCTCCCACCCTAAGCCCTGTCTATCACTTAGATTCTAGGGGCGTAGTAGGAACCCAAAGTCCACAGAGGCAAAGTGGACCAAGGGAGAGGTGAGAAAAAGAGTTGGCTAGAAAAAGGCAACCAATCAGGCAGATGTCTGATGAGAAGGTCCGCAGGCCCACATGCCCCTCTGTGGCAGACATCATTAGCTGATTTGGGCATTCTCTCTTGCTAGTGACTGAGTGAGTTGTGGGAGCAGCATCTATGTTCCATATCCAGGTCAGACATTGCTAATCAATCCTTATACACATACCATCACTTTCCCCTACTGCAGCCATGGCAGCCATTACCAATTGATTAGGCTGCTGTTCACAGTGAAGTGTCCATTCTTCAAAATCCCTCAGAACATAGAGCCCCAGACAGCCTGCAGTGGTTAATTTCAGCAAATAAATGGGATGGAAACTCTTTGCTACCCTTGTGAAAAGTGTTGATGACACTGGATATATGGGAATGTTGTCACAGCAACCACAGAAAAATAGACACAGAGATGTAGAACACAAACTCCAAGGAAAAAGTTTTAAAAAATGTTTTATTTATTATTTTTATTTTATGAGTGTATAGAATCTTTCTGTGGCTTGGGGAGATTTTCCCATGTAAGACACAGATTGGTGACTGTCTGTCCTGGAAACTTCCTGGCATCTGGCCCTGGTGGGTTTTTACCTTGGGATGAGGGGATGGTATACAGGCCTCATCTGTGATGCTGGTAGGAAACAGGCTTAGGGATCAAGGGTTCAGGAACCCATCTTCTCTTGTTCCCACCAGGCCCTACTCGCATCTCACTTGGGAAGGAGAGACTGTCTGGAGACAGGGGCTGGGGAGTTCTTGACTTTCCTTGGCGAAAGGTGAACAAACGTCTTCACCCCACACAGGGCACCAGTGACAGACCAAAGAAAAGATTCCAGCCAAGTCCAGCTGGGTGAGTGAATGAGTTTATTGGGTAACTTACAAAGCATGGGTGAGGGGTGACAGGAGGCACCCCTAAGCAGCTGTTTTATCAAAAAGCCCCCAGGCATGGTGACGACTCATGAAAGCTGTGTCCTTGGAGTTCAGTAACCCTCCCCCCAGACTCCAGCCTCCTCAGGACTGTGCTGCAGGAAGGAGTGGGGTGTGCAGCCTTGGGCGATGCTCCCTGCTTGTCTTGCTTATTTCATTGCCATGGCTGGGGGCCCAGGTGTTCTCAACTCATCATTGCAAACGCTGCTCCAAGATGGCCGTGGTCACATTATGTGGGGGATACAGCAGATCACAGCTGGTGAGTTTCTTCAGGTGAGGGGATGTGAGCTGGCTTGAGGGGCAGAGAGTCCAGGGAGGAGTAGGGCCAGAGTGCCACTGGGCACAGCTGTGGAGGCGGGTGCAGGCTGGACCAGGGAGCTGAGCAGCAGGCTAGCACTGGACCAAGGAGTCTGGACTCTAGGGCATCCGCCAGAGGAGGCAGGGGCACCTGAATGGTCAAGGCAGAAGCTGGTGAAGCCCCACCAGGCTGGGTATGTGGCATGGGCAGAGTGAGGAATGGAAAGGCTAGGGCACTGGAGTCAGACAGCACACACAGGAAGACAAGCATGTAACACAGACTGTCACAGTGACACACATGTAACATACATGTAGCACACATGCATCACACCGACACAGAGATGCACACATGCAAGACACACAGATACACAGAAGAACACACACACAGACACACAGAGGCACACAGGCAGGCATATATATATAGACATTCATTCAACATACAGACACAAACAGGGACACAGTATAGATACACATTAACACACATGTAACATATACATGCAGAGACACAAATACAGACAAACATGTAGCACACACAGACACACACAGGTGTATCTGACTGGGCCCCTGAGTCTCCCCTGCTGAGGGCTGGTGTCACTTTCTGTCACCCAGTGTGACTGATTTTTTTGGACTTCACAGAGCAGCCTGCGGGGAGGGAGAGACCTGGTTACCCCAGCTTCCTGAACAGAGGTCACACACCAGACAGGAAGTGGAGGTGCAGGACCCACTGGGGCCATAACTGGGACCCACCCCTTGAGGAGGACCATGTCCACCTGTCACCACGTTATCTCCCACCCAAGGGTGCTCCCATCTGCTTCACATGCCTCTCACCTGCACTGGCCATGGCTGGATGGGGGTGCCATCCCAGTCTGTGCAGCAAAGAGCAGACATATAGGCTGTGGCCTCCTTGGCCAGCAGATCCCAGCGGGCGTTGTGGCCCAGGTTGCCTGTCGGGTCAGCTGGGTCCAGGATGATGGGTCTGCAATTGCACCCAGGGCTAGTCTTATCTTAGTGTCCACCTGTGACCCCTGCTAGGCCATTCTCCACCCTCACTCAACACTGCAGGGGCTGTGGGCAGAACCCAGGGTCTCCTCAGCGCTGCACACTCTAGGGCAGGGGGAGAGATGAAGAGACAAATGGAGAGGGGCATGGTGGCACAAGCCTGTCATCCTAATACTTGGGAGGTGGAGCCAGAAGGATTGTGAGTTTGGACCCATCCTGGGCTATATGGTCTGTCAAAAAAAAAAAAAAAAAGAAAGAAAAGAAAATGGAAAAAAGGAAGAAAGCAAGGAAGAAAGGAAGAAGGGACGGAGAATGAAGGAGGAAAAGCAGCTACGCATGGACCGCTTTTTCACTCTGTGCCCAGGCAGACATTACTAATCAACAATGATACTGCAGGTCCTCCTGCAGGTGAAGCAGGCATTGCTAATCAATTACAGTGCTGGTTGTACCGCTCTCCCTCCCTGTATCTGTCTGTGGCAGACACCACTACCTACTGAAGGCATGTCACAAGATCAGCGCTTTTTTCAGTTTGCATAGCCACTACCCACAGGTTGGCAATGCATCGTGAGTTTGTGGGACAGTCTTGTGATCTCTGTGCCCATTTCAGGGGTGGCCAAGATTGCAAAGAATGAATGAAACATACTGCAGACATAATGAATGCAAATACCAGATGCCCCTGTACATTGGAGTTTCAGAGAAATAATGAATGCAGTCAAGTTTTGAGGCAGGATCTCATTATGCAGTCTAGACTGGTGTTGAACTTGCAATCCTCCTGCCTCAGCCTCTTGAGTGTTGTGATTACAGGTGTGTGCCACCATATCTGCTCACCCCCTTTTTGAGACAGGGACTCCCTAAATAGCTGAAGATGACCTTGAACCCTTGATTCTCCTGTCACCTCACGAGGGCTAGGATCACAGACATGCACCACCACACCCAGTTTATGTGGTGTTGGGAACAGAACCCATGGTTTTGTGCATGCTGGGTAAGCAGCTCATCCACTGAGCTACATACATCCCCAGTCCCACGTTTTAAAAAGCAGATATCCTAAATCTTGTGTGGGAGCTGCTTAAACTAAAGCATTAGTCATTGTTTATCTGAACTTGAGTTGAACTTGGAGTCTGGTGTTTAGTTTGTCCTGCTTATTCACAGCGGGTCAGAAAACTGACTGCTTGTACCCTTAGGTACTAGATCACTTCTAGGAAGGAAGTTGATTCCAGAGAGAGGGTCCTGCTGTGCACCCTCTGCCTCTGGGCGGTGGGAGGAAGTGGGTGTCCCTGGGGCTGAGGTACTGGGGGCTGGGGGTGGGTGACCAACTTGGGCTTCTGAAGCTGTAGTTTTAGGAAGTCTCGTATGGTCTCGTCCTCCGTGCTGTAGTTGACGGTCCAATAGATACAGAGCTGATGGTACTGGGTGACCAGCTCGAGAACAGTGCGGAAGCCTGTGGCCATGTTGAACTGGAGGTCCTGGCTGCCCTGCTCCCAGGCATACACAGTCAAGAGCTCCAGTCCGTGCTGGGGGGGCAGTGAGCCCCTTCCCCCAGGCATCTTGTTGCACTAGGGAATGGAGAGAAAGGAGATGTGTTGGTCTATGTCAGCAACGACTCAAGAGACAGAGCTACGAGAGGACTAGAGGGATCCGTGGGGTTGGGAGACTGACCCCAAAGTTTTATGGAGCAACTCCCTGTGCCAGGTGGCTCATCAGGCGTTATCCTGTCACAACCTAGACACAATTTTTCAACCCAGCTTTTTTTTTTTTTTCATTGCTGGGGATGGAACCCAGGGTCATCCCCCGAGGTATACCCGCAACTCTCTTTTTCTTCCTTGTTTTGAGACAGGGTCTCAGTATGTTGACAAGACTAGTCTTGAATTTTCAATTCTCTTGCCTCAGCCTCCAGTAGTTAAGATGACAGGTCTGTATCACCAGGCCTGGCTTGTCCCCCATTTTGTGGATGGGAAAAACAAGATACACTAGGGTCCTGGCCAATCTGAGCCCCAACTGCTCCAAGGAAAGTGATCACCAGGTGTGTGTGTGTGTGTGTGTGTGTGTGTGTGTGTGTGAACTCTGAGCCCCAAGCGCTCCAAGAAGAGAGATCACGATGTGTGTGTGTGTGTGTGTGTGTGTGTGTGTGTGAGATAGAGAGAGAGAGACAGAGAGACAGAGAGACAGAGAGAGACAGAGAGAGGGGTGTGCTCACACGTGTGTGGATACCCCATGCCCGAGTGTTTGGGACTGTATGGCCTGCCCCTGTGCCATACCTGCTGGCCAGTGCTTCACCAGTCGGATCAGGCTTTTGAGCTTGGTGGGGCGGGAGATGATGAAGTCCCGCTGGAGCTCCGTGAAGCAGGTGGAATACTCACCCGCATTGCTGTAGCTGTGGATGAGGTCCACATAGACGCGGGGGTTGGGCCTGGAGCCGGACCCCAGCTGGCCTGCACAGAGGGAGATGGTTAGAGTCACTCCATCTCCCAGGGAGCCCCAGAGGACCAACTTAGAAAGCACCTCTGAGACACCCTGTGTGTCTGGGACCCTCTGGGAGGTCACCAGGTGTTTTAGGGACACAGATACGGCACAGCCCCACATCAAACTCTTCAGGAGAATGGTCCTGCTTGTCTGTTGTGGAGGAAGTCTTGGCTAAGAGCTAGTGTGTCTTTAACCCTCTCTCATGCCTGTTCAGCCCCTCTAACAGAGAGGGAGCCCTGCTGGTCACTAGTCAGGAAGCCTCTTGAGGTAACAAGACCGTGGTGGCAGGGGCTGACATCATTATGCTGACTTCTTATATTAAGCAGTGAGGACCCCAGTTCTGGTTCTCCAAACCCAGGACCCAAATCAATGAAGACCAGAGCTATTTCTGCTATTGGAACCCAGAAGTGAAGAGACATGGAGATACGTGTCTGTTTTATTCAGCACATTGTCCTTGAAGCACAGAAGAGTGCTGGGGACAAATAGTGCATTTTAAAAAATGAACTGAATGAACAAACAAGGGCAGGCCAAGGAGGCGGCAGCCAGTTTAGCTGGGAACAGACTGAGACACTTTAGACCCAGCAGCACCATCCCATGAGCTGGGGTCCTGACTGAATAAAACACAGAAAGCAAGCTGAGCACCAGCACTATCTCTCTCTGCTTCCTGAGAGCAGATGCAGTGTGACCAGCCACCTCATGCTCCTGACGCCATGCCTTCCCCACCACGAGAGCTGTAGCCTCAAATAAACCAAATAAACTCTTCCTTCCCTAAGTTGCTTTTGTCAGGCGTTTTGTCATAGCAACGAGAACAATAGTGAATACACCTAGCATTGTCATTGACTTGGTGTCTGGACTGTAGGAACAATAGATCCTAAGGAATTGAAATTGCTACTAGGAATCCCACAGAGAAAAGAAAATGGTTCAAGAGTTAACAAGAGAAGAAGCTTGCTCAGAACAGAGATTTGTGGCTCGTAAATCCCCTTGCAAGAGGGCGGAGCCTAAACAATGATGTCCGCTGCAGGGCTACTCTGGCCGGCTACTTAAACCTAAACTTCATGTCAGGACCCCGAAATTGGGCTTGAGAGGAGTCTCTGGATCTCTGTGTTTCTTCCTCATGTGGGCACACTGAACAAATCTTTTTCTGCTACTTTTTGTTACTGCTGTTGCTGTTGTTTTCTTGACAGGGTCACCCTAGTTCCAGCCCACCTGGAGGTCACTACGTGGACCAAGCTGGTGTCAGTCTTGCAGAGATCCACCTGCCTCAGCCTCCCGAGGGCTGGGATTAAAGGCTCGTGCCACCACACCTGGTGTTTTTCTCTGCTACTTTTAATTGTCTTATTGAGGTTGGGTGGCTGAATCTGGCTTGTTGGAGCACAGTCTGTGACCCTAAGTGTCCTACTGTGGTCGTGGAATTCCTGGGGTATAACTCAGTGACCCTAAGTGTCCTATTGTGGTGGTGGAATTGCTGGGGTATAACTCAGCTTGGGGCTGCAGTTAACTCGCATGGCATCTTTGTGTGAATCCACAAAGGATTCACACATAGATGCTTTGCCACTCATTTTCCAGGAAAGCAGGGATAAATTTACACCTCACTAGTACCTATGACATGAACAGGTATCACCTAATTGCACAGTGCACAGCCTCCACAACTGCTCAGGTCCACTCTTCCTTGGTTCCTGCCCTCTTTGGGCTTACTTCTTGGAAACTCACCGAGGGCGTCAAAGGCTGGCAGCACATCAAAGTCCACACTGTGGTCCAGCATGGTCCGTGACGTCAGAGAGAAGCTCAGCACGCGGGGGTTCTTCCTCTTGGAAATCTCAAACTTGACTTCAAATCTCTTTTCCTGCTGACATGCCTCCAGCTGAGCCTGGATCTCTGAGATGATCTCAGCCCTCCTGTTCCCCTGGTCTGTGAACTGGCGGAAGCAGCTGAGGAACACTACCAGGTCAGCATCCGAGCGTCCTCGAAGAGCCGTGCCTTTGGCCGAAGAGCCGCCCTGGGGAGGACATGGCAGGTGGCTTGGTCCCAGAAGCACCCTTTGATGTCCCCAGCCTGTGTGTGTTCATGTGGGTGTGCACATTTGAGCGAGTGCTTGTGGAAGCCAGAGGCTGACACTGGATGTCTTCTTCCTCAGTTGTTCCCCACCTTACTTTCTTTTGAGACAGGGTCTCTCACTGAACTTGCGGCTCACCAACCGGGCTACACTGACTGGCCGGTGAACTCCAGGAATCCTCCTGTCTCTGCCTCCTCAGTACGGGGGTTACAGGCTTATACCACTGCCAAGTTCAGCTTTTTTAATGTGGATTCTGGGGATCTGACTCAGGTCTTCATGGTTGGCAGCAATCAACTTCTAACTGAGCCCTTGGGCTTACTTCTTGGAAACTCACCTAGGGTCTGTGGCGCTTAAGCCTGTATGAACCTAGAGAACTTTCAAGTTTGACTGATGGCTGACTCCCATCCCTGGACATGGTTTTGATTCTAGGACAAAGTCAGGACTTGAAGGCCAGGAAGCTAAGTCAGTGCTATCGTCACTATCATCAGTGCTGTGGAGGACGTGGGTACAGATCAAAGAAAGTATTCACCTGGATCACACAGCACACCCACCAGGTCTGGGACCATTTTCTGGTCTTCTCTGGGCTCACACTCTCTCCCTACCTGACTTGTTTTCCCTGTGTCTCTCGATAGTAAACAGCTGTACCAAGTGTAGTGGACCATGTGACTTTACACCCCAGTTTCCCTCCCTCCCTCCCTTTCCTTTTCCCTTCCTTTCTTTTTTTTTTCCAGACAGGGTCTCTCTATAGCCCCAGCTGGCCTGGAACTCTTTGTAGACCAGGCTGGCCTAGAGCTCACAGAGATCCTCCTGCCTCTGCTTCCTGAGTGGTATGGGGCTCCTGCCATTTGGGTTCAGCAAGTGGGAGCCTGATGTCTCCCTCACCAGGCAGGCCAGTGAGGCTCCAAAACTCTCTCTATATATACAAACTCTCTCTCTTTCTCTTTCTCTCTCTCTCTCTCTCTCTCTTCATTCTTTTTTTATTTGTGACATGGTTTCCCTGTAGCCTTTGTTGGCCTGGAACTCACTATATAGACCAGGCTGACCTCAATCTCACATAGATGTGCCTGCCTCTGCCTCCCCAGTGCTTGGATTAAAGGCCTGTGAAATGCTTGAACCTCCAGGATTTCTTAAATCTTCTTGCCAATCCACTCTTAATTT